TTACCAGTGAAAACAGGGGTACTAGTGGGAATGGCAATGACTCTACTATTGATTACTATTAAGTGCACAGTTGGCAAAGGCACTTCTATGAACATAGTACTGCCAGCACTGACATTCATTGTAATATGAATAATGGTATTGCTACTAATGCTACCAAAACGCAAAGCAGCATTTGCGATACTAATATAATCGCTGATGTTACCGGAGCCAGTCGTAGTTCTTATTGTACTGATAATGCTACTGGCACTGGGGACATTATAAAGGTTTCATTGAAACCGGTAAACTAATATAAATTTTTATCCTGTCCATACCAGCAATAGCAGTTGCACTGCTATCAAAGCTAATAGCGTTACATATAACGTCGGTAGCACTAGGATGATTGGCTTGGCTATGAAGTGAACCAACCCCAACAGAGTACCATGCCATTTGGATCACTGTATATACCAATAAACATTGGTATCTATGGCAGTGATGACACTTTCAGTTCTCCCTCTAAATCCATGGCTTGAGATACATAACAGCCCGGTTGTTTGTCCCATGATGCTGCGGGTTGCGTTTCAGCGAACGCGTTGAACATTAGAGACTTTTATTTTCAATATTGTATCTCAAACCACGGATCGAAAAAGATGAGTGGAATTTCAAGTTTGGACCGGGCACGGTATCCGGAAGAACTTCAGCAGCAGTACTCCCGATTTTGGAAGTAGAAGTACTACTACTGGCATTAACTTTAGTGGTATTAATGCTAAACTAGCATCTCTACTGTCTGATGCAGTGGCTCTGAGGTGTTTCTTGTTGCACTGGTAAGATCTTAGCAGTACTGATTTTACTATATTGTCATTAACGACGTCAATGTCAGCTAGTTCGAGTAATATTAATATCACCAGCGATGACGTATTAGGAATCTGAAGCTGTTGGTAATGACTTTAATGTGCATAATTTCGCTGATAGCTTCATAAATGCTGATAGCACTAACGACTAACTTAACTATTAATATTAACAGCAATACTACAAGAAAATGATGCCATTAGGAGAGATGTGAGTTACACGAGTGTAGTTGACAAAAACACTACTGTTGGCTTTGGCAGCGTTACACGTTTGCACCTGCGACACAAGCAGTTCACCGACAATGATAGCATTCACAACGTATTCAACAGTACATCATTCTTATGGTTACCAGTGCTGACATTCGTGCTGTTTGGTGTAGTATTTGGACTACTATCAGCACTGATAGGATTCTTATGATTAGTAGTATGCCATCATAACATTGTCGATACCGATGGTAGTCTGCTTATAGCAGTGCATAATTGCTTGTGTACACAAGTAGCATAACTAACATTAATGGCAGAGCTAACGCTGGTACAGGCTTCTTTCGTTCTACATCGGAGAGTTCGTAAGAGAGCAGTTCAAGCTTCATTTTCTGGCAGGATAATATCCGGCTGACTGGTGTAAAATTCCTGTCTCACTTTTCTCTGTCCGGTATCCTCTGAGTTTATTTGGACCCAATGGCAGCTGCGGATATTCGTGACTAAAATAGTAGTCCCCCTGGTAGAATAATCTTACCCATCGCTCTTAAGAAATTAGTACATTCAGAAACCCTATCCTTCTGCTTGGATTTCAAATAACAGAGCATGTTCTATTAAAGGCAGATGCATTTTCTAGGCACAAGGAAATCTACCATTATGTGATAATTACTTACTTATGGTTCACGACAGATCATTGCAGACTACCAGAACAGTTTAGGAAGAACGCAATTCGTAGTACCTTGCTCTGACCTTCTACTTGTTACTCGACCTTAACTCTATGGGTGTTGCCAAGAACATGGACGCGGAGATTTGCATTTTGGAACAGCTTCCATGAATGAAAAAGTAAGACTTACTTCCGTCTTTCCATAGTAAACGACTCCTGGCGTTAAAGCAAAGTGTGAGGTGTGACTCGGAAGATTTGACTGATCAGGCGTGACAGTGCGAGGCTGAGAAGGAAGCGTTCAGCCGTACTCTTTTAAGGATTCAACACCGGTCAATTAAAACACTCGACATATCGAAACTCAGCTGTGCTGAGGGATACAAATTAATTTATGACGTCCCAGTTGTCCGTTACGATGCAATTAACTGAACGAGGTCACTAAAATTAAGTTTATGCGAGCGTCAAAGACCACCAGTTTCCGGCTTATGGATTCAAAATGTCAGCGATCAATTATCACCGACAAATCCGTCAATAAGGACTCTTGTTCGCGCGTCGCAGGCCGCATGAAATTCCTCAGTACGTCACAGATATTGTTGCCGATAATGTCAGTGAAAGGATTTATCTGAGTCTTAGAAAGACGTGGGAGGTCAAGAATAAAAGAATGAAAGTCAGGCAACTCTTCATTAAATGACAGCTCGTGAGTTATGTCTGAAACTCATGACCACAACCAGGTTTCTATTTTCAACACCAAGTGGAGAAGAGTGTCAGACACAGAGGTTATGCCTCCTGATTGATGACCACTGGACACTTCGAACTAAGCCGAGCTCTCCAACGGCTACTACAGAGATGAAGATACAGAAACAATGCAATCTAAAAGAGAAAATCACTTACATGTGTTGTCTTTGATTAATAGTAATCGTGCCCTCTCCTCGCTTCTAGCGGCCAAAGGGATGTTTAAAACGAATGCTGCTCCATGGCATAATAACTCCTACAGTGTGTTGATGCAAATTCCCATTACTATGCTGGTTTGAAAAACAATTAGACGTCAGAGCATCTTCAAGCAGAATTTCCAGAGGACCTACGAATTGAGATGATAGGTGAATTTACGAAATTTAGCATTTTAGTATTTTTTATCATTTAAATCATTTGTATATGTAATCGAGGAATGCCAGACTTTGATTAGTTTCTGCTCATTCGAAAGACGATCTCTCTCTGCAAAAGTACGATGAGCACTCATAAAAATCCATTTTACTTCTAACTAAGCTATCGCATTACTTCGTTGCAAAGCTCCTCCACATGCCGCAGATTTCGTTATTTTGCGGGTGTAGTCATGCACTCGAAAATGACTCAACATGATTTTAATAAATAACTGTCTTGTAAGTAAATTTTGCCATAAGTATCTCAGTGGTGGTACAACCCTTGACGGTCGCTCTGTGCAACCCAATGCTATGTCACTATCGCAATGGAAGGGGAACACCCATGCTGCTTCACATATCATCTCAAAATCAAACCATTTGCATCTGACGTAACGAACAAAACTTGACTTTGTTTGGTCACAAGCCAAAATCAGAAAGGAAAACGGTTCCAGCCATGGTGAGGTCTCGGTATAACTTAGCCACCTACCCTCGTGGTTTCGCGTCATCGTACCATACCGGCTTGGTCGACGCCCCGATTACCAATGGCCGCGCAGGCTGTTGGGGACTGAGGCAGACCGCGAAAGTCGGCGATCAGAACCTGCACATCGCCCGGCGGGGGGCTGACAAGACCGATGGAACGACGACGAAGATACCAGTCAGCAACGGAGTCGCTACCCGTTCTGAACGGAGGAGGCAGACAGCGCGATGCCATTATAGCACCTCAGAAAAGGCTCCACGAGAACGACACTACCAGTGGGAGCTTAAAGTCAGAAATTGGAACATATCCTGAATCAGAGGAAAAGAGCAAGAGTTAGTTGATGAGG